GAGGTTCCTGGAAACTGGTCTCATGTCTTTTAACCAAAAAAACTGCTTGTAGGATTTCAGTGGATCAAGAGTTAAATATGTGAAGAGAATTTGGAAGGGAATATTTCTTTGGCAAGATCTATACCCTGTATACTACCTAACACTCCCAAAGGGAAGGTTAGGAAAGTACCTACCTTTCCTCACCATTAATCTAATGAAAGTGGTTAACAGGACCACGGGAGAGCTGAATATGTACCCCATGCATTTTAGAGACATGGTAGACAAATGTCTGTCTCACATGTAATAAATCAAAACCAGTGAGAGAAAAGGTACTCTACTATTTTAACAATGGAGCAAAAAAGGTAGGATTGGCTTACACATTCAGACGCAGTTGGAGTAAAGAAAGTATGAATACGCTCCATGGACCAGGTATGGGGATTCACACAGAAAAGCTAGTGTGAGGTAATCTTAAGTCCTGCCCAAGAGAACCACAGCAGTTGATCATAACAGAGAGAATTTTCAGGTATCAAGAAATGTTAAAGGCCTGAGAAAAGAGTTAGAAACTATCTAAAATAGAGATGTACTTGCTAGGGTTCAAAGAACTTCAGGTAATATGTTCTCCATAATTGAAGGAAGGGAGAACTTCTGAAGTACCCTTAAAAGAGAAAGCACCTACTTTCTTTTTTTGTTGTTGTTTTGTTTTTGGTTGAAGTCTCACTCTGCTGCTCAGTCTGGAGTGCAGTAGCATGCTGACAGTTCCTGAAGCCTTGACCTGCTGGACTCTGGTGATCCTTCTGCCTCAGTCTTCCAAGTAGCTGGGACTACAGGTGTGCACCACCACACCCAGCTAAGTTTTTTATTTATTGTAGAGATGAGGTCTCACCTATTTACCCAGGCTGGTCTCAAACTTATGAACTCAGGCAAACCTCTCACCTCAGCCTCTCAAAGTGCTGGGATTATAGGCATGAGCCACTGCACCCCGCAGAAGGGACCTATTTTCATCTCCTGATAGACCTGGAAAACATGGTAGCAGCTAACGATGGTATTAATCAGTTAAGGACTCCTCTACCTTCTTTCTTCTCCCCTCTGCCTACACTCTGACTACAAAGTGGTCAGAAATACAGTATACATGGTGTACTCACACCTGTAATCCCAGCAGTCTAGGAAACTGAGGTGGGGCAATCCCTTGAAGCCAAGAGTTTGATCCCAGCCTGGGGGAAAAAGGCAAAAGTCCATCTCTACAAATAATAACAATAATAAAAATTAGTTGGGCATGGTGACACACAACTGTAATTCCAGCTATAAAGGAGGACTGTGGCTGGGCTCGGTGGCTCAGCCTGTAATCCCGCATTTTGGGTGGCCGAGGTGAGTGAATTGCCTGAGCCTGTGGGTTCGAGACCCGCCTAGGCAACTTGACGAGACCTCATCTCTACAATAAATCAAAAATTAGCCGGGCGTGGTAGCACGCGCCTGTAGTTCCAGCTACTTGGAAGGCTGGGGCAGAAGGATTGCCAGAGCCCAGCAGGTCGAGGCTGCGGTGGCCGGGAGTGGCCACTGCACTCCAGTCTGGGCGAAAGTGAGACTCCAACTCAAAAAAAAAAAAAAAGGAGGACTGTGTGAGTTCAGGAGTTTGAAGTTACAGTGAGCTATGATCATATCACTGCACTCCAGCCTGGATTATAAAGTGAGAATCAAAATATCTAGTCTCAGAAAGGGAAGGATGGGAAAGGGGAAAAGATGGGGGAAATCACCTATCAGGTACAATGTGCACAGGTGAGGGTGGAGGGTACACTTAAGAAACACTGCTAGCCAGATCAAGGGAAGGGGATGAAGATGAGAAATAAAAACATTAAAGAGAGGCAACAAACCACAACTTCCCCAAACAGTAGGATACCTGCCTGCAGCAGGCTAGAGTTAGGAATAACCGGAAACCTCAGCTTTAAATTTATAGTTTTTATTAGTACATGCAACTGAATATTTTAATTATTAATTAGAGCCATGTGTCTGAACTTTAAGCAATCATAACCAGAAGAACCAGGGACCTGATTTAGTTTTTGAAAATGGTAGGAAAGAATTAACTCTATAGAACAGATTTAAAGAAATGGTGAAAACAAAAATAAAATTGCTTTATAATTACATATCTGGAGTCATTTTGGTTCAATGTAATGATTTCTGTTAGCCAGTCATAATACATTAAATTCACATATTTAAAAAGCAAAACTTGAAAAATCCATTTTTGTGGGCATTAGTTATTGACTACAAATTTGATTAATTAAATTTCTGTAAATAATCTAAACTGCAGTTAATAATTTGCATAACTGACTTTTGAATATTTTAAATGCCTTAAATAACAAATAAACATACACGAACATAATGATTCCATAGCTGATTAATACCACAAAATAATACTGATGGCAAAAGTGCTAATACCATAAATGAAATTTTGCTTTCTTATTTTGATATATTTTGTTATCATCTTTCTAATATCTTCAGAAACTTTCTGTAGCTTTACCAGAACCAATGTTTATAGCCTTTCTAGAGTTTTTTGTTGTTATTCAAATTTTTCCAGATCTAAGTGAAAAAGAATGATTTCTCAGAATACCAGAATATTGTTGAGTAGTTCATTTATGTTTAGAGTATGAGATTTGGTAGAATGGTTCAAAGTAAAGCAAACTTCAGTCTCCACAGTAGACCTAGGACCTTTTTATTTCTAACTTTCACTCATTAATCCTGAGTTCTATATATCCCTGTCTTTAACATAAATTTTAATTTTTGAAAACATTTTCTTTTCTGAAATTTCTTATAGCCAAAAGTACCTATGCCATTACCAGGACATTATGATATATTGACATAGATTGTTTCAATTATTAAAATATATGTATTTATTATTAGCATTTAATTAAAATTCATAGAGCCTTATTTATAATTAGTTTGAATATCTATACTCACTTTTCCTTTTCAGTACATATGACCCCTTTATTATCTTGAAACATCCTATTTTGTAATTGTCATTGTGTATACTTGTATGGCATAGCTATAATCAACTATAAAAGTTTTTAGGTCATTGTTATATAAGCTCACTATTGCTGATGTGTATTTCAGTACTTAGAATGTCCCTCCTTCTCTGGTCTTTTCTATAGTAGGGAAAAGGTCTACCTCACCGCGCAGAAATCCTGTGTCATTTGGTTCATTCATGTATCTTAGTTCCTTCTTTTTTCTAACACAAACACAAACAAGTATACAAGTGCTAAATATACAGAAACATTCTAAACAAAGAAAATAAAGCATCATATTTTGACACGCTCTTCCTTCTTTAAATCAATAAGGATGGAAAGCTCCTGTTAGAATCATTCTTTTGTTGTATTTCAAGTACCTCTTTGCACATCTTGTTTCCTCATTTGCCTGTGACCGTGAACTTAAGGCTTTGTAGAGGCTTAGCTTGTTCCAGTTGAACAATTAGCATTATTGCTCTTATTATTTGCTGCCTATTTCATTATTGAAGCACTACCCCTGATGTTTCAAGAAGAATCCTTGATTTTTGGTTAACAACAGTTTGCTTTGACTCCATCTCATTTTGTCTTTATACCAAACTTGGAGTCAACGCCCCTCCAAGGATCAAAATTTTTGTGCTAGGGGTGTGCATGAGGGTTGGTAGTAAATTAGAGTAGTGCCCCTGCTGTTGGGCAGTTTGTAATAATGATAAGAGCAGGAAAATAAATCTTTTAAGGACGTGAATGTACACTGATTTTTTCAATGCATGATACTACTGAAACCAACTTTTTTTTTGTAGACTTGCTTTTATGCTTATATTAAATATGCAATAAGATAGGGAAAAATACATTATCGTCACAGCTGGTTGCAGAACTCCTCAGAGAAAGAGATCAGTCTCTCTTGGGAAAAATGTTTCAATTTTTTGAGTAGAAAGTGAGCTCCTCTCTCCTTTTCATTCCTGCCACCCAGCCTAAGACAAGACTGATCCCAAAGTTTCAGCGAAAAATTCTGCTATCCAAGAGTTACCAGGAAGTGGGGATTTGAAAACAGCAGATGAGAGTAGAAGAGGAAAGTAGGATTTCAGATGTTACTGCCTTTTATGACGACTCTGCAAATAAACAAACAAAGCATCGAATTCTTGGCGTGCATATGTGGCAGTATGTGGGGGAGGTGTTTACAAAAACTGAAGAAAGAGCTGAGCATCAGGTCAGATTGAGGAGTCATGCAACATATAACGCATGCAAGGGTGCAGAAACACAGCGATCTGGAGAGATAAGAAAATAGAAAACTGCTAGAAATTTGGAAGACCTCTTGAGACTCTCACAGAGTCAGATTAGTGGGGTTAACATCAGTTTAACTTAGATACTGAGAAGTAAGAAAGTCCTCTGTATTAAAAAAACACAAACAACTTCTTAAAAATAGCGTTGCCAGATTTAGCAAATGGAAACACAGCATACTCTTTTAAATTTGAAATTCAGATAAACAAATAATTTTTGTAAGTATGTCCCATGCAATATTTGGGACAAACTTATGCTATGTGGAAACTGGAAACCCAACAATGGGAATTGTGAGATATACCTAAAAGAAAATATAAAAATATATGATACATATGTCATATATATATCACAAACTGCAAATATACCCAGTGTAATTATAAATAGATGACATATATTAGTTATAAATATATGAATAAATATTGATGCATCTTAAATCTTTTATGCATATAAAATAGTTGGATATATTTTAAAAATCCACCCCATTCATATCTGAGTTTATTTCTGTTTTGATCATTCTAATTTTGCATTGTCTGTTTATCCTTTGCTTTCTATGTGCCTCATGCCAATTTGTAACAATCATGGTTTTGTAAACCCATTGGTTATCCAAAATTCTCACAACATCTGCCTGTGATTTCGAAATAATTAATAGAAAGCCTTTATAAACTACTTATTCTGCTCCAGTTAACTCTGTTCTCCACTGCAGAAAACTACCTGATCTTTAACATGCAAAGACACCCACAAAAGCCTGGCAAAATGATTAATGTGGTGTCATTCAACAATGGTCCTTCTCACCTCTCCACACCTCATCTCACTCATCAAAGCCTTTTCAGCCTCAGTTGTCTTTGATGCTATGGGGAAAGTGGGAAATTCTTTTTTTGCTAGAAATAAAGGAGCATCCATGTTTAAGGATAGGTCTAACTCACTATTTAGGAATCTTATGCCCACCTGGAGGCATCACACCTTAACTGCAGTTGCTCAGCATTCAGTCTTTCCCTCTTTCCTCACTGCTGTACTCATAGGCTGTCCTTAGTCTTTCTGCACCACAAATGTCATGCCTTCTCAAGCATTTTTATATCCGAGACCTATTGTATCCAGTGATGTGAGGGGAATTCTCAGTTTAGCATAGTCACGTGATGAATCAGAGCTACAGAATTAAGAATTCATCAGGGATTCATATCTCAAGTGAAAGGTGCATATCTAGAATTGGTCAGCAAGAAACCAGCAGGTTATTCAAAATATTTTCCAAAGGACACCAGAAAAATGTTAAAAAGATAGATTAATAAAACCTTACAAAAATGATTATGTGGTATTGAAATGCATTTGTCAAAAGTATAAAAATGGCAAGAACTAACTGAACTACACAAAACTATAATAAAAATACTGATTAATTATTAAAAAAATAAAAAAATAAAAAAAAATAAAATAAAATTCCACTGTACTTCAAAAAAAAAAAAAAGAAACTTAAAATGACGCAAAGGACAAATTCAGACAGGAAAGACTCTTCATATCTCACTCTTCTTATCTGTACAGAAATGGGATTAGGCTAAACCTGTGATGTTCAAGTTGTGCTCCAAGCAGCCTGGTGTTTCTGTGGTGACACAAGGATGGAGATGGTGGGGAAAGGTGCCACATTCATGAACCAGGGTCTCGCTGGCTAATGTTTTTACATATTGGAACTCACAGAAAATTTCTATTGCAATAAACACTTGGTATCTGAATTAGGTTCCTAGGTTGCTATAACAAATTACCCCAAGCCAAGAGACTGCTTGATACCAGTTTGAGACCAGACTGGGCAACATAGACCAGTTTTTAAAACAAAAAATTTTTAAAAATTAGCCAGGTATGGTGCCACATGCCTGCAGTCCTAGCTATTCAGGAGAATCCACTGAGTCCAAGATTATGTCACTGCATTCCAGCCTGAATCACAGAGCAAGAGTCTGTCAAGAAGAAAAGAAGGAGGAAGGGGGGGAGGGGGAGGAGGAGAAAGAGGAGGAAGAGGAGGAGGAGGAAGAGGAGGATGAAGAAGGAGGAGGAGGAGAAAGAGAAATAAATTTTTTTTAAATTCTGAATGGCATTTTTGTCAAAAAAAAATTACCATAAATTTGTTGGCTTACCATAACAGAAATGTATTCTCTCATAGTTATAGAGTCAGAAGTACAAAATCAAGATGTCAAGAGGGCTATACTCCAAAATATACTCCAAATTGTTTAGGGGAGAGTCTGTTTCTTACCTCTTTCAGCTTCTGATGGCTCTTGGCCGTCCTAGACTGTGCCTCTGAGTCCTGTCTCTCCCACAGTCTTCACATAGCCTTCTCGTCTTTGTGTGTCTTCTTCCCATCTCTTGTCACTGGATTTAGAATTCTCCATAATCCAGAATGATTTCCTTTGGAAGCTTAATTTAATTTCATCTGCAAAGACTGTTTTTCCAAATAGGTCACACCCACAGGTGGACATATCTTTTAGGAAGCCACCATCCAGTCCACTAGAATGTTTAAAATAATTTATCTTAATATTGTAAAGGTTATTTTGTATATGTTTTCAAATTATAGAATTAACATGTTTCTTGCAATAAGTAAAATATACCATGATGTAAAAAGTAAAAGCTAATTATGTACTTCCCACTCAGCTCGTCTCCAACCTACTTCCTTCCAAATTTATTTCCAACTTACCTGGACTTATTGCCCCCCTGTCAATCGAACTAGTAGTCTGTGTTAACAACACCATGTTTGTACTTCCATACGGCACTTCAAGCTCATTTAATCACACACACATGCACATAAATGCATGCACACATGTATACATATATATGCATTAATAAGGAGTTTTAAATTGACTATACAGGTTGTTTCATATGAGACATACTCCTCTTTATGTTACTTTTTTCAGTTATGCCTTGAATGCATTGCTTTGAATCGACCATGTGTAGTTCTAATGTGTTATTTTTAATTGATGCCTGATAACATAATATTCCACATTGTAGATAAACCACTATTGATTTCAAGCCTTCCTCTATTGATAGATATTTTTATATTTCCATACTGCTGTATTTTTGCCCTTATGAAAAATTATTTAATACATATACTTGTACATAAAATTTTATATTATGGTGCTTTTATTAGTATAGAATAGATTCCTGGCAGTAATACTTTGCTGTCAAAGATGCATGCAGTTTTAATTTTAATAGATATTACCATATTGCATTTCTAAAGACCTGCAAAATTGAATATCTACCAATATATGAAAGTATCAATTTCCTCTTATTACAACTGGCAATAATTGTCTTTTTTCCACATTTTTGTCAATCTGATGGATGCAAATCACCAATTTTTATTTAACTTACATTTTCCTACCTACCAGTGATTTTTACCATCTTCTCAAATGTCTACCAGTCATTTGGATTTTCTCAACTATGGAATGTTCATATTTTGTGTTCTTTTATCTAGTAGGTTATTTTTCTAGCCCATTTGTATAGTATAGAGGTTAAAATTTCATTTGGCATCTTTAGTTATGAGTTTGTTTTCAGTTTGAAATATGTTCTTGAGTTTTTCATCTTATACAGTTAAATGCATCAAAGTTTTAGAACATCTGAGTTTCTCATTTTGCTTAAGAAAGTTTCTCTGTCCTCTTGATTATATTTGTAGCCAAAACATTAGCCTATATTTAAATTTGTTGCATTTGTGTTTGCTTTATTTGAACTATTTTGAACTCAAATTTATTTTCTTTCAGGTGGAGAGTCAGTTGTGCTATCACTATTCATTAAATAATTCATCCTTTACCCACAAAATTGAAAAACTGACTTTGCATATATTAAATGTCCAAATGTATATGAAATCATTTAACAAAATTGTATTGTTTTTACATCTAATATTCTTCTTTTTTAATTTTGTTTCTGACACACAATCTAATTTTCTAGTTCTAGGATAAGTCCATACTGATTTTTTTCACAGTGTCTATTGTATTTGTGAGAACAGTGAAGTAGATTATCTATCCCCATTCTTCTTTTCCTTATATTTTTCATGACTATTCTCAGCCATTTTTCATTTCGTTTAAGATAATATTATAAAATTTCTCTCTGAATAAAATCCTCTGGATAATCAAAATAACATTAAATTCTTACTTTAATTTTAGCAGAACTGACATTTTTAACTTCTACTCAAGAATATTATTTTTCCTTTTTTTAGTGTTATTATAATTAAGGAAAGTTTATAGATTTTTTTGTGACAATTCTATGCCATTCTTGGTAGCTATATTTCTAAGAAGTGTAAGCATATACTGTCATTTAAATAAACTTTCACTCATTTTTATTTCTAAGTTTAATTGTTGATAGAAAATCCATTCACTTAGTATACCTTTATCTACAAAATTATTTTATTTATTTTATTCTTGAACTAGAATTCTGAAGATTTTGAAGTATATAATCATATCTATCAAATAAGAAGATGATTTAATCTTCTCTTTTTCAATGTTTCATCAAATGATTTCATGTTATAACATGTAACTTCCAAAAAATGTTGAGTATTACCAACAATAATAAACATCTTCATTTAGTTTCTGATCCTAATTGAAATGGTTTCAAGAATTTAAAAGTAATGTTCTTATATATTTTACTTTAGTCTATATTTTCTTCTCCAGGAGTAGTTTTCTTCTATATTTTACTTAGCATTTTCTTTTAACTTTTGTCTAATATGTTTTTTTGCTTCATTTGCAGTTGCAAGTTTTTTCTGTTTTTAGTTTTCTAATTAAGCAAATTACAATAATATTTTCTGATACTAAATCACCTTTGTATTTCTGGATAATTTTTAGTTGGTATTAATAAATCTTTTCATATAATGCCAGATTTTATTTTCAATTATCATAGTATTAGTGTGTTTATATTCCTATATGAAATTGGTCTATAATTTTCCATTTTGAAACATCTTTAACAAATTTGAGTATTAAAGTTGTGTTGGCTTCAAAAAGGATTTGGGAAGCTTAGCGTTTTTTTATTTTCTAAGGTGATTAAACAACATGAGAAATACCTGTTCTTTGAAATTAGTGAGAACTCATGAAAATATCTGGTTAAGATGCCTTTGTATTGTGGTAAAATATGCCTACCATAAAATTAACCATTTTAATACTTTCTATCTCTGTAAATTTGCCTATTCTAGATAACTCATATAAGTGAAATCGTGCAATATTTATGGTTTTGTGTATGATATATTTCACTTAACATAATGTTTTCAAGGTTCCTCTATGTTGTAGCATGTGTCCGTATTTTTTCACTTTTAAGGATGAATAATACTCCACTGTATGTATATACCACATTTTGTTTATCCATTTATTGTTGATGTACATCTGGGACATTTCTACCTATTGGCTATTGTGAATGACGCTGCTATGAACATGAGTGTGCAAGTTTCTGAGTTCTTGATTTCATATTCCCACCAAAAAGTTTATATTCCCACCAGTCGTGCACAATCATACCTCGAAGATATTATAGGTTCAACTCCAGACCACCGCAATAAAGTGAATTTTGCAATCAAGCAAGAGTCACATGATTTTGGGGGGTTTCTCAAAGTATACAAAAGTTGTTTGTACTCTATTAAGTACTCAGCAGCATTATGCCTAAAAAACAATGTCCAATAAAATTTTTAAATATTTACTGCTAAAAAATGCTACATCTGAGCCTTCAGTAAATCATAATCTTTTAGCTGGGGGAGGGTCTTGCCTCAGTGCTGATGGCTGTCACCTGATCAGGGCAGTGGTTGCTGAAGATTGGAGTGGCTATGACAAATTCTGAAAACAAGACAACAATTAAGTTTGTTGCATCAATGGACTCTTCCTTTCATGAAGGATTTATCTGTAGCATGCAATTTTACCTTAGGTAAACATCTTTCAAAATTGGAGTCAATTCTCTCAAAAAACCCTGCTGCTGCTTTACCAATTAAGTTTATATAATATTCTAAATCCTTTGTTGTAAATTAAACAATGGTCACAGCATTTTCACCAGGAGTAGATTCCATCTTAAGAAACACCTCTTTTTTTTTTTTTTCCCATTCATACAAAGCAACTTCTTATCCATTGAGGATTTTTCTTGAGATTGCAGCAATCCGGTCACATCTTCAGACTCCACTTCTAATCCTAGTTCTCTTGTCATTTCTACCACAGCTGCTGTGAATTCCCCCACTGAAATCTTGAACTCTTCAATGTTATCCATGAGGGTTGGAATCAATTTCTTCTGAACTTCTGTTAATATTAATATTTTGACCTCCTTCCAAGAATCACAAACGTACTTAA